CTGGGGCTCTGCTTCAGAATCCAGACTCTGGGGGGCAGGGCACACGGGCAGGTCAGAGGCCCAGGGCACAAGGAGGTCCGGGGAGGCCCCACGCTCACCAGCATGCCCGGGCCGTAGATCAGGTGTAGGTAGTTATCAAAGGCCTGCTGGCGCTGCTGCCAAGTCAGCTGGGGCCGGGCTGCCGGGCTCTCCAGCCCCAGTCTCAATTGCTGAAGGTCTTGGTCCCGGGCAACCAGGACTTCCAAGTCCTGGGGTGGGGGTCAGGGGTCAGCTCACTCTTCCTTGAGCCTTGTCGTGTGCCACCCAGACAGGTGCAGGGACCCCAGCCCTGCCCCAGGGACCGAATGGGAGGGTCCTGAGCTTGGGGGCTGAGGGGGCACCGGGAGCCACCCCACCTCCTCCGACACTGGCTGCTGAGGAGCTGTTGTCTGGCGACGGATGAAACACAAGGCTGTGCTGCAGACAGAGAGGGGCACAGTGGGGACACAGACGGCATTGCCAGTGGGGTAGGGCAGAGGCTGGGCCGGGGCTCCAGGCTGGGCGGCTAGGCCCCTGGTGGGCAACCACGAACGGTCAGGACTGGGATGGGCTTGCGGTGAGTGGCCGAGGGGCCTGGGAGCTCTGGGGTCTCCTGTGGGGGCATATGGCCAGGCCCTGACCCAGGGGAGCCGGGTGGGGGCCTCTGGGACAGTTCAGCCAGGCCTCTCAGCAGACCTGAGGCTGGCCGCCCCACAAAGGTTGGCGAGCCTCTGTAGCTGGGCTGAAGTCAGTGACTCCTGGCTGGCCAGCGGTAGTGGAGGGTCATCCGCCCCATCAGGGTCCTCTTGGCACAGCTTCTGAACAGGGAAAGGAGCCTGGAGCCCTGGCCTCGGCGGCTCATCTGCCCACAGCAGCCCCGCCCCGCCCACCTGTGTTCACCGCGCACCTTAAGCAGGTAAGATGTGGGCAGGTAGAGTCTGTGGTCCAGCAGGCAGAGGCGGGAGCCCAGCGCCAGGACCAGGTCCCCACTGTTGCTGCAGAAGGCCAGGGCCTGAGGGGCACCGTTCAGATGTAGGAGCCTGGAGGGGGTTCAGAGTGGGAGTCCAGCCCTGCTTCTCTGAGTAGAAGACCAAGGCAGGAGCAGAGGCAAATTCCCAGCCACCCCTGCACCCCCTCCAGCTGCCCAGCTCTGGTAGGGCAGAGGTGGGAGACCCAGGCAGCTGCTCCCCACCCCCACCCCTCCCCAGCCCACCGCAGCAGCTTGTTCTCTGCTGTCCAGATGCGGATGGTGTGGTCCAGGCTGGAACAGGCATACAGCTTGAGCGTGGGACAGCAGCACAGGCCTGGGGGCCGGAATTCAGCTTTAGGGCCCAGAGCCATCTGGAGGCCTGGGCTTCCCCTTGGCCCTGCCTCCTCACCAGTGATGTGATCCGTAGGGTCGTCCTGGGGCCGGTGATCATAGCGAGGGCTGCTGCTCAGGCCAAACTGTACCAGGCCGTAGGTGGCACTGTTCGGGTCCTCGAAGCCCACGGTGACGCGCTTGCCGAGGGCACAGAGCACCACCACTGGGTGGCAGCAGCAGAAGGTGCGCAAGGGGCTCAGGCTCTCCTCGGCGTAGGGGAAGACGCGCCACATCTTCACAGTCAGGTCTCCCCCTGTGCGGGCAGGAGCCACGGTGACGCCTCTGGGGAGGGAAGGAGTCCCCAGCCAGCGTGGCGGGGGAGGGGGTAGAGGTACTGACCAGAGGACACGATGCTGTTCCAGGTGGACGCGATGGCAGTGACGGGCCCTGGGCTGTGTGCTTCCGTTCGGAAGACTGTCTTCAAGGAGCGCAACTCGAGTACGGACAGGGTGCCATCAGTGTGCCCCACCACGGGCAGGTACCTATTGGCGACCACAGCCCGTTGGCATGGGTCTGGTTGCCTTGCCCAGCCCCGGCTGGCTGCGGCACCCACCGGTTCTTGTCCTTCCAGGCCCAGGCCACGTCGCTGCGGCACAGCTTGCCCTTGCACTGGCACACTATCTCCCAGTTGGTGAACGCGCTGGCGGGGTCCGTGAGGTGGCTGTAGAGGTGCAGGCAGCAGGGCTGGGGCGCAGGCGGCGGCGGCGGGCACAGGCGATGCAGCACCCGCATTGGGGAGCATGCTGCATTGGCACACAGCAGGTGTCCGGTGCGCGTCAGCACCCACAGCGCCTCGCGAGGCAGGCAGTAGGCCACGGCGGCCGCGCAGTCCTCGGGCTCCAGCAGAAGCGCGCTCACGGTGCGTCCGCCAGAGACCGACACCAGGTAGACAGAGCCGTCGGCGCAGGCGCACACCAGGCGCGCGGGCAGCGCCGCGTGCGGGGCGGTGGGCTTGGACAGCGCCGGCGCCAACTGCAGGTGGAGCACCGGCGCAGACAGCTGCGCCAACGGTGAGTAGAGCTCCCGCGCACGCCACAGCCCCACGCTGCGGGCCCCCAAGGAGAGCAAGGGCCAGCCCAGGCCAGCGGGGGCCAGCAGACGGCTCACACTCTCCATCGGCACGCCACGGCCCCAGCAGGTGAGCGCCACCTCACCCACCTGCGCTGCTGCCTGCAGGTCCCACGTGCGCAGCGTCCCGTCCTGTGAAGCTGACACCACCAGGGCCGTGTTCGGGAGCACGGCCAGCGCGGTCACTGGGCCTGCGGGAGGGGCACGTGTCACTTCTGCGTCCCAGGGACCAAGGAAAGGGGAGCCTTGGGTCAGGGTCGCGGCCAGGGTGGAGAAGCTTGGCCAAGGAAGCAGCAGACATTTTGTGCCAGGGGCTCTTGAAGGCAGAGGGCCATCCCCAGGGTGGAGGGAGACCAGGCTTCAGGAGCCACCGTGGCCCAGCGTACCTCTGTGTCCCACGAACACCATCCGGATCTGCCAGTCAGCCTCCCACACTTTCACCGTGCTGTCCCGGGAAGCTGTCACCATGGCCTCTACCTCTCTACAGTACGCCAGGTCAAAGATAGTGCTGAGGAGTGAGAGGGAGGCTGGGTGGACTCAGAACTGCCGTGTGTGTGTGTGTGTGTGTGTGTGTGTGGCCGGGTGGACTCAGAACTGACGCGTGTGTGTGTGCGTGTGTGTGTGGACTGCCGTGTGTGTGCACGCGCATTCGCCCACCTGCACCTCTGCACTGGATTTCCGTCTCAGCCTCGCCTCATGATTTCCGCCCTCCCTCACCCATCCCTGGGCCCCCCCTCACGTTTTGTGCAGATTCCGACGCACATCTGTGAGAGCCCAGGTTTGCAGATCAAAGGTGAGCACAGCTGAGCCATAGGCTGCGAAGCAGCATGGGTCGTGATGGGGAGGCCGAGGCCCCAGAGCCAGACGCACAAGTGCACCCGAGACGCTTGGTGGTAGCTGCAGAGGTGACCCGTGGGGAACCAGGCAGCGGCCCCCTGAACGGAACTTCCAGAGCACCAGGCTTCTGCCTGCCTCCGCCACCAGCAGCAGCCTGGGATCTGGCACTGGCAGGCAGCAGATGGGCTCGCGGCCTGGCACCCTGTGCTCCCCTGGTTTACTCAGCCACAGTAGGCTAAGGTCGGACCTTAGTATGGCCAGCCCCACTGGGCCCCAGCCCACAAAGCGGCCCACAGTGCCCAGCGGGCCCAGCACCGCCACTAGCCCTGTAAGTGCAACTGGAGCCAGTAGCTTCTCTTGTGCCCAGCCATCCTCTCTGTGCAGGTGCAGGTGGCCTGCACCGTCCAGCACCACGAAGCGTCTGCCCACAGGGTCTTGTGCCACTGAACACAGCCCAGCTGCCACCTCCAGGCGCCGCAGGGGTTCCAGCCCGTGCGTCAAGCGCGCCACGTGCAGCTCAGCTCTCTTTTCCTATGGGCCAGGATCAACAAGACTGCAGTGAACTTGGTGGGGGCCAGGGGTTGGGGGTAGGCAGGGCACCTGTCTAGGGGTGCCAAGAGGACCCTGGCTGGGATCCTACTGGGGACCCCTAGGGGAAGAGCCAGGTCAGGAAAGAGGCCTTGACACAGATGCCACAGCCAAGCCGCACCTTTTCCACAACGGTCTGCAGGCCTGTGCGCAGGAGCAGCCACAGCTGGCGGGCACGGGCACTCAGAGCCATGTTCTGCCACCGCGAGTTGTTGGTAAAAAGCTGTGGGGCCAGCTCCGAAAATGATGACCCTGCGAACCGGCAGTGGAAGCGGTCAGTGTGGTCTTGGGCCCCTAACTCTGGAGGTCCTGGGCAGCCGAGGGCCCTCCTGGGAGCCCTGCCCAGTTAGGAGACTGCCCAGGGAGCGCTGCATTCCCCAAGGACAGAACCTGGGCCTCAGTCAGCCCAGGCCACCTCACCCCTCTCTTCCTTGAGGAACCCCGGGTCCGGGACTTCGTAGATGTCGGCCTCATATGGGTCTTGGTCTAGAATCAGGTAGTCGCCTTCTACTGTAGAGGGGTTGCTTGCACCCAACACTTCCGACTCCATTTCAAAACCGGCGGGTCCAGGCGGCTCAACCGCCTGTAAGACCGTTGCTAGGATACCAGCCGCAGCAGGCCCCGCCCTTGACGCAGGCCCCGCCCCACCTCGTGAGTCTAGGTCCACACTAAGTCACAGAAACTTTTATTGGAAACAAACCAGCTGCAGCAAAGTGACACTCAGTGCACGCTGCCCAATGGGCAAGGTGGGGGGTACAAGTGGGCAGATGACCCCCGGGACCACTTGCTGGGTCTCCGGCCCTTTAGGCTGGAGTGTGAAGGCCCAGGCCTGACTCCACACAAAATACAAAAATAAACTCTGCGGTCCAGCTGCCCCTGCCTGTGTCAGTTCGTGTGAGCAGGGCAGTGGCTCTTCCCACCAGGCCCTGTGCTGTCTAGTCCAGCCATAGTGTGGGCAGTAGCAGCCTGTGGGGGTGAGTGGACAGCCACAGGCTAGAGCCAAGGGCTAGGCAGGCATGGCCTGGGGTGGGCTGGTGCTGTGGCAGCGCCGGGACCTGGGCCCTCACGTGGGCAGGTCCAGGCACTGTTCGAAGCTGGGTGAAGCTAGGGCCTCTGTTTCTCCTCTTCACATACAGATCACCGGGACCCTGCACAAAGGGTGGCAAGCAGTGAGCTGAGGAGCCCACACCCAGGAGCCCAGGCAGAGGCAGCCCAGCCCCGCCCCACCCCGCCCGCCCCAGGGCCGTGGAGGGAGGCTGCTGGGCGGCCCGCACCTGTCCTCCTCCACGGCGCCCGTCTCCTCGGGCCCACCCTCGCTGCCTCCACCTCCACTCTCTTCCTCCTCCTCTTCTTCCTCCCCGAGCTCCATGTCCAGCTCGTTGCCTGCCTCCGAGGGAGTGTAGGTGGATCCACTGAGGGGAGGGAAGACCAGTCTTAAAATCACTTGCCCTCAGCCTACTGCTGACTCCAGGGAGGATGTCCAAGGAGGAGAAAGTTAGGAATGGGGTGGGGAAAAGGTGTGTGGGCCAAACGGTGAGGTAGGGGAGGGAGGGAGACAACCTGTCAGCCAACCTGATAGAGCGGCAGCTGAAGAAAACAATCCGTTTCAGCCGCTTGTTGTAGAAGAAGTAGTTGAAGGACCAGAGGCTGCCATCTTCCCCGAAAGGATCTGAATCCAAGTCTGGGTTGTAGCTGGGGAGTGGGGGATGAGATATGGTGTGAAGTCCCAGTGTCACGGAGACCCAGGACCCCTGCCCCGTGCAGGGACGTAGGCCCACCTGTAGATGTCACATTCAGCCAGGCAGATCTCCTCATCCACCGCGTTCCACAGTTGCGGCTTCAGGGCCTTGAAGTCCTCCCGAACGGCCGAGAACAGGCTGCAGTTGACTGCGTTCACCACCTAGGATGGTCACAGTCGGGGCTGACAAGGAGCCAGGAAGCAGGAATGAACCGGGCTGAGCACGCTAAGTTAGGGAGGACACCTGGGATGGCTGTGGGCCTGCAGGTCCCTTCCCCGACCCCACCCTCACCCAGCTAAGGCTGGGCTCCCGGCTGAACTCATGGCTGCGGGCTGTGCTGAAGTCGTAGTCCGGCCGGAAGGACTCATTGAGTGTGGCAATCAGGTAGAAGAGGGTCTTGCGGCTGCACTTGTCGCTGAGGGGGCCTTCATCCTCGCCACCTTGGCTCTTACTCAATCTGCACAGAGACAAGTGTCAGCCCAGTGCTGGCCCACTCGCCAGTCCCCCGTAGGCAGGCCCTGCCCCTGCTCACCTGCTGGGGCTGAGGCCCGAGGTCTGGGGTGGGGACAGTGCCTCCAGCACATGTGGCTGGCCCTCCTGGCAGAATTGCTTGAACATGTGCTTGTCGTCACCTGCCATCTTACACGAGTAGCTCTCAATCCTAGAGACGCAGGCAGGACTGTGGAGCATGCCACCTCCCAAGCTCAACCAGAACCAGTGCAGAGTGGCCTCCAAGAGGCCAGCCCCCAGAGCCACAACCTCACCTGCCAATGATGTGTGCATCTCCCGTCTCCACGGTCAGCTGCGAGTTGATGGCCTCGAAGCTGGAGTTCTCCAGCAGCTTCATGTCCTCGGGGAGGGGTCTGTGCTCCAGGGGCTAGTGCTGCCTGAGGACCAAGATCAGTCCATGGGAATCTGGCCCGTGGGGTTCCACTTTCAGCCCTCCTCACAGTAAGAGGCGCTGCTGTGAACAACTTGGGCCCCTTCTGAAACCTGCTTCCAGCCCTTCAGCACTGGCAGGTGAGACGGTAAGATCGGCAAGTCTAAGCCCAGCTCAGCTACACCTCCTGAACCTCACAGGAGTTCTTCGGCCAGGATGGGGGACCCACTGGGGAATCCTGCTAACCCCGGGGACGCTCGGTTAGTCTCTCCCTAAACACTCTCTATCCCACCGAGGAGGGCCCTGGGAGTCCGCGAAGGGGCGTGACTCCTGCAGTTCCCCTCCGGCCAGAGTGAAAACCCGCTCCCGGCAAGGAACCAGGACGTCTGGGGCTCGGCTCTGCCGTCACCTGGACGCGGCGCTCTTCCCTGTTCTACAGACGGCTTTCTAGTGAGGGAGACAGGAAACCCATGAGCTCCTCCGGTTTCCTTCAAAAGTATGAGAGAGGGCGGAGAGAGGCCCCGAGGCTCCCGGAGTGTCGGCCACACAGGCCGCTAGGGCGCTCCAGCGTCCGCCGGGTCCCGGGGAAAACCCCAACCGGGGCGCAGGAACTACGCGTCCCAGGCGGCCGTGCGCCCCGGGGTGCGCGCATGCGCGCCGGCGCGAAGCCCACTGGACACTGTAGTCCGCACAGCCCGGGTCGCCGCCGGGCACAGGGCGTACACTTACCTGCTTGCACCGCGCTCAATCGAGCCGGGGCAGACTCGGCAGGGTCAGGTCGATGGGCGTCGTGGGCGTGGATGGGCTGAGAAGGCGGGGTGGGCCTCGCGCGGCGCGGGCTCCTCAAGAACGGGCGGAGGCGCCGCGGCCTCCGCTCGGGCCGCACTGTATCCGGGGGAAGAAGCTCCGAGGCGACGTCCCGTTACTCCCGGCCCTGCCGGCCCCGGCGGGCTGCCACCGCGACATAGCCTCGCCCCTGCACGGTGCCCTACTATTGCGACCGACCTGTCCGCCGACCGCCACAGAGGGCCCGAGCAAGCGAGCGAACGACCTCTGCCTCCCGGAGCCGGACAACAACAAGCATCTGCCAGGCCCGGCCCCACGCGTCTGAATGGCCCGCTCCAGCCGGTGGAACCGGGAGCTCGCACAGTCATTGGGGGCGGCATCCGCCGCTCAGTCCCGATGTCTGCCCCTACTGGGTATGACTCCTGTCAGTCATCTTCTCGGCCGTGCGAACCCGCCTCCCACCCTAGCGCTCATTGGCCGCGGCCTTCGCGGCTCCGCCCCCAGTGGCTTCCCAGTTCCCCGGAGGGCCAGTGGACTAGTTGAGGTGTGGGTGGGACGCGGCAACCGGGTGAGGGGCGGGAGGTGGGCTGCGGCCGAGAAGGGGCTACGGAGCCCCGTTCGGCTTGGGAGCCAGATGCTGGGTTCACAAGGACCGCCGAGCTCAGCCCCAGTTCGAGGCTTTAGGGCCTTCCAGTCGTGGCCGGTGCTGGCGTCTCTGACGCTCTGCCTGGAGTACAGGCCTGCAAGCTCAGCCTCACCTGCTTGTGTCGGGAGACCTTCGGGCGAGGTGCCATCGTGGGCGAAGCAGGAGCGGCAGACGGCTACGACGCTCGGGCAGCGCCCGGAACCCCAGGCTCGTGGTTACAGTTTCCGGCCGGTGTAGGCGTTCAGCGACCCAAGTCCACGGAAGCGGGCTCGGGGGGGCAGTGCGGGGGCCGGACTGGAGATGGCGCCGCCGGCGGGCGGTTCGGCCGCGGGTTCGGACTCCGGCTCGGCCGCAGTGCTGCTGGCCGTGCATGCCGCGGTGAGGCCGCTGGGCGCCGGCCTGGACGTGGAGGCCCAGCTGCGGAGGCTGCAGCTGAGTGCGGACCCCGAGCGACCAGGGCGCTTCCGGCTGGAGATGTTGGGCGCGGGCCCCGGGGCGGTGAGTGGGGCCGGCGGGGGCGCGCGGCCTGGCCGCTGAGCCTGAAGCCACACTCTTCCGTTTGCTAGACGCGTGCCGTTATCTTTTCCTTGCTTCTGTTTCCTTGTTTGTAAAATGGGGATGATGCTAGTACTTCCCTTTGTAGGATTACTGTGAGGGTTTCATAAAGTAACACGAGTAAAAGGCTTAGGACGTTGTAAGTAATCGACAAACGTTACCTCGTATTCCTTTGATTATCATGCAGTATGTGCTGGGGAACGCACTGAGCCTGGACTCTCCCTCTCCTCAGGTCAGTTTGGAGTGGCCCTTGGAGTCAGTCTCCTACACAGTCCGAGGCCCCTGCCAGCATGAGCTGCAGCCTCCACCGGGAGGGCCTGGTACTCTCAACCTGCACTTCGCCAACCCTCAGGAAGCTCAGCGGTGGGCAGCCCTAGTCCGAGATGCTACCATGGAAGGACAGAATGGTCAGTGCCCTGGAGTGAAGATTCACCAGGCCAGGGCCAGTGTTTGTTCTGCAAGAGGGCAGGAGTAGCCCCAACCCCCCAGGCTTGGATGGGGGGAGTAGTGGAGAAAGCTGAGCCCCTCTTGCCCACTACTGGGGTTCTGGGAGCACTCCCAGGAGTGAGGAAGTAGAGAAAAGGAACAGAGACCGAATGGCTGGAGCCTGCAGTGCCAGACAGGTGTGGAGGGGCAGCATACGCAGGCCCTCAGGACTGGGGTGAGAAGACAGACTTTCAGAAGCGTGGAAGATAGTGGAAGAGTGACAGGCTCAGATTCAAGCTTCGGAAGACTGGTGAACCCTTGCATTTGTATGGGTGATGCAGACAGGGCTGGAGGGAGGAAGGATGTTTCCAGAGATGCTTAGGAGAGGAATTGGCTGGATTTCTTGGAGGTTTGAATGCAAAAGTTAATGGTTGAGAAGCTGGAAGGAACAGACACTGCAGAGGTCCTGTTTGGAAGGGCAAAGAAGTGGTCAGGTTCTTAAAACATGTAGGAGGGAAAGGAGGTAAGAGGAACTAGGGTTCTGAAGAGGAAAAGTTGGGGGTAGAAAAGGTCAACCAAGGTCACTAGGAGGCAGAAACAAGAAGAGGGTCCGGCAGGCAGCTAGTGCATCTGGGAAGGAGTTCACAGATGCTACAGCTGAGCTGGTGAGCAAAAAGCACACAGTGAGATGGAAGAGAGGTCCAGACAGCAGCATCTGCAGAGGGAGAAAGGCACTTTTCTCTCATGCGTTCATTGGTTGGTTGGTTGACCACGTGTGTATTCTGTGCCTGTAGTAAGCACTCCTTCAAGGCCTTTGAGATTCCAGGCAGACCTGGTGCTGGGTGCTCGGGAGCCCTGCTTATCTCAATGGGCAGACGGCTCAGAATATTGAGGCAAAGGAGCTGCATCTGCACCACATGGGCAGGGTGTCAAGTAGGAGGTAAGAAGGGGAGCTGGTGGCACGCTCAAGGCAAGCACCAGCTGGAGAGGGCTTGTTTGGAATGGGAGGAGCCCAGAGTGCCCTGTGCTGATGGCAGAGCCAGGAGAGATGTTGGAGTTCCCTGAAAGGAGGCCACCTTGACTGCAGGACTCCTAGAGACTTCTGCTGGTTCTGCTATGAGGCCCAGGGAGCCTCCTGGCTGGCTGAGAGGGCTTGTACAGGCCAAGAGAAGTGGCCTGGCCCCTGTGGAGGAGGGCTGCAAGTGGGACTGGGCAGCAAAGGAGGCCAGAAGGACTCCAGAGCCCAAGAAAGAGCCAGGTGTAACTCTGAGTGGAGTCGGCAGGGATCTCTGGGGTGTGCAAGGGCCAAGACTGGGCCAAGGTCTGGTTTGAAATGTGGCCAAGGCAGAGCCCTGGTATGGGCTGAGGTGAGGAGGGAGGAGACAAAGGTACTGGAACCCTGAGGTGAGAGGACAGAGGCCTGGGTGTGTACTCCGTGGGGGGCCAGATCTCAAAGAGACCACCAGCCCACCCCACATCTTTCCTCCTAGGCAGTGACAGCTTGCCCCCAGCCCTAGGCCCAGAAACGCACCCTGTCTCCCTGCCCAGTCCCCTTGAAGTGCCCACACCCAAGGCCCCCCAACCCAAGGTGGATCTTCCTTGGAGCCCTGGAGACTTGATGGAGAAAGGTAAAGGCAGGCGGCTGGAGGGGCTGGGGGGAAGCAGCCAGTGTGGGGCTGCGATGGCTCTCTCTTCCCCTGCAGAAGAGCTGGCAGGGCGCCTGACCCAGGCTGTAGAGGGTGGGGATGAGAAGGGAGCAGCCCAAGCAGCAGCCATCCTGGCACAGCGTCGTGTGGCCCTCAGGGTCCAGCTCCAGGAGGCCTGCTTTCCTCCTGGCCCCATCAGGTAAGGCCTGGGCCCTCTTTCTCACCCTGACCCCCAGGCCTCTCAGGTCCTCTGTCCTTACCTGTGACCTCCATTCTGGCCCAGGCTCCAGGTCACAGTTGAAGACGCTGCATCCTCTGCCCATGTCTCACTGCAGGTTCACCCCCACTGCACCATCAGGGCCCTCCAGGAGCAGGCGAGCATGTGGTCTGGGGAACCCGGGTTGGGGGTGGCAGGAGGCGGCCTGGGTGACACTCCGACACTCTGGCCCCAGGTGTTCTCAGAGTTCGGCTTCCCACCAGCCGTGCAGCGCTGGGTCATCGGGAGGTGCCTGTGTGTCCCTGAACACAGCCTTGCTTTCTATGGGGTCCGGCGGGACGGAGACCCTGCTTTTCTCTACCTGCTCTCAGCTCCCCGAGAAGCCCCAGGTCAGTCCTTGATTGGGGCGGGATGAGGAAGGTGGAGGGAGTGCAGCCCACCATGGTCCCGAGTCTCACCGCCTCTGTTGCAGGACACAGTCCTCAACGCCCCCAGAAGGTGGATGGGGAACTAGGCCGCCTGTTCTCGCAGTCATTGGGGCTGCCCCCAACCCCTCAGCCAGCCAACTCTAGCCTGCCCAGCCCCCTTCAGGTGAGCAGGGACTGGGCAGGGTTGCCTTCGCACTGTGGGCATTAAAAGCGGGTGAGCAGCAACTGTGTGCTCACCTCCCCAGCCCGGCTGGCCCTGCCCTTCGTGCACCTTCATCAACGCCCCAGGCCGCCCCGGCTGTGAGATGTGCAGTACCCAGAGGCCCTGTGCTTGGGACCCCCTTCCCACAGCCTCCACTCAGCAGCTCCCAAAGGTACCAGCAGCAGAGGCAGGGAGGGGATGGGACAGAACAAGCAGAATGACGCATCTTCCCCTCCTTCCAGGTCACGCGGAGAGAGGATGGCCCTTCCCTTCCAGGCCCAAGGTCCCTGGACCCCCTCCTGAACCTCTCAGGAAACCTCTGCTGATTGCTCGCTGAGGTCATTAAAGACACTTCTGAGCCAGCCATGTGCCCTTTCACTGTGCCTTCCTGCAGCCTGGGAGGATGGAGGGCAGACAGCCCTCTGAGAGGAACCCTGGCAGTCTTGGATGGGTGGGGCCTTCCCAGTGGAGCCCAGGAGGCTACCAAAGAGCACACTTGGAATGCAAGTCCCAAGGCACAGGGGCCTGGCACCCATTCCCCAGATGCCAAGGGTGGGCAGCCCCCCCCGCCCCACTGTCTGCTGACCCCTGGGCTGGCCCTTCGGACAAACACCCTGCCCTCCTCTCGGCAGTAACCCTCCCCACCCTGGCTGCCTCTCCTGTAGGCTGCTCCTACCCTGCCGCCCCTCACACTCCCTGCTTGGGGACAAGAAAAGCTCTGAAGCAAAAAGCCCTGGGTCAGGGCCACAGGCCATTGCCAAGAAGCACCACCCTGGCCCTTCGCCCACTGATAGGTCCATGGCTCTGTAAACCTGGCCACTCCCAGCTGCCCTGTGGACTGCCAGGAGGGGTCATCCCCTCAGAGATGGGGACCATCCTGTTTACAGCAAGCACCTCCAGCTGCCCAGACAAGAGACCAGGAGCTCCTTCCAATGGCCTCTGCCTGCCTCTCTGCTGCCTTGGCAGGGCTGAGAGCTGCCCACCTCTCCCAGCCACCCCCAGTCCTAGGATCAACTCCTGCAGCTCCTACTTGAGGCCAGCCTATCCCTGGCTGATATGCACCAGGGCTCCCTGCTACCCTCAGGATGAAAGTCAAGTGGTTTCACTGACTCCAGTTACTGCAGCAGGGCCCCCCTCTTCACCTGTGACCAAGTACTCACCACTCTAATTAATGTTGCTATTTTCTAGTTCTCTGCTTTCTGTCCTATATTCAGTGCTGACTGGACTGTCAGCCAATAGTCTCTGCCGGGCAATCCTGACCATAATACACTGGACACCCCCAGGAGCTCTCAGGGCAAGGGTCCCAGTCCCATTGTGTGTATGTGTGTGCACGCGCGCGCACACATGCTAAGTTGCTTCAGTTATGTCTGATTCTCATGGCCCCATGGACTGTAGCCCACCAGGGTCCTCTGTCCATGGGATTCTCCAGGCAATACTGGAGTAGGTTGCCATGCCCTTCTCCAGGGGATCTCCCCAACCCAGGGACTGAACCCTCATCTGGTGGGTCCTTTACCACTAACAATATCCGAGAAGCCCAGAGTCCCCTGCAAACCTATACTCCCATCACACAATAGTTCAGGTAAGTGTGTTGAGAAACTTAATTTATTTCCACAATGGGAGCTGAATAAAACTGGAGCTGGAGCCCCAGCTCCTGCCCCTCCTCCTCTTGTCCCAGAGGAAGAGGGGCTAGGCCAGGAGGGCCACCTGAGACCTCAACAGGCCCAGTGTGGCTCCCAGGCTTGAGGACTCTGAAGCTTAGGACAGCAAATAGACACTGGGTAGGGTCACTTGGGCGGCCGATAGGCCAGCTTTCGGCTCTTCAAGACTGACCACTTATGCCGCTTCATGGCGTAGACCAGGGGCAGAAGCAAGCCCATCATCAGCAGCATCTGGGGATGAGGCAGGCTCAGAGGAGGGAGGCAGAGAGGACCCCTGCTCAGCTACCAGCCTGTCCCCAGGCCCACCGCACCCCTCGGTCCAGCCCCTTCACCTTGAGCCCCATGCGTTTGCGATGGTCGTGTTCTGGTTCAGCTGCCCAGCGCAGGAAAGTACACACGTCCTTGGCTACCTGGGACATGGTAGCTGGGGTACCTGGGTCAACGACAAGTGGTCTAAGGGCTATCCGAGGGGGTCCCTGCCCAAAACTTCAAAGGGATGAGACCCAACCCCCACTTCCAGTACATAGATGGCCTGAAGATGACCCATGAGTCTCCTCCCATATATATAGTGCCCCAAACCAAGGAAGGTGCAGGACCTCTTGGGGCAAGAAAACAGGACCCAGCCTGCCCATCCCCAGGGTGGGGGCCTCTCACCATCATCAAACTCCAAGACCTCATTGTAGATTGGAGGGGCCATGCCAATGGCCTGGCCAGCAAAATAAGGGTTGAAGTAGAGGCCTTCTCGCAGCGACACCCCAGTGGGTGGCTCACAGTAGCCCGTGAGCAAGGAAAAGACGTAGTCCTCACCACCGTGCCTGGGACCAGATCGGGGTATCCTCAGCCTCTGGCGCGAGGTGGGCCTTCCCCACTCCCCACACCACCCTGCAGGCAGCCTCTTACCTAGCTCGCACAATGTAGCTGAGGTCAGGGGGCAGTGCTCCATTGTTGGCTGCCCGTGCAGCCTCGGGGTTGGGATATGGTTTGGGGAAGTAGTCAGACAGCTTCCCTGGGCGCATGAACATCTCCCCATCCTCATTGGGGCCGTCCTGAACCTCCACCTGCCACCGAGAGCCCCATCACAACCCTGCTGTCCAGCACAGCAGGAACCCCAATCCTTGGGTCCTCTGCATGCTGGGTGCCCACCTCCTCAGCCAGTGCCTTGGCTTCATCCTCTGTGTAGCACACGCCCACCAGGTGGCGGTAGGCCACGTAGTCCATGCTGTGGCAGGAGGAGCACACCTGCTTGTACACCTGGAAACCCCTCCGGATGCTGGAGAGAGAGAAAGGGTCAGAGGCGCCAAGGATTCCACCCCACCCGGTCCACCCATAAACTCCCTCAGCCAGCCACACACCTGGTGTGATCCAGGGAGGAGAGGAGGCCACGGTGGGACCACGGATAGCTGGGAGGGTGCAGCTCCAGGTCACTAGCACTCACGGCAGAATGCAGAGCCACTGCCAGCCCTGCACCCCCTGCCGCCAGCATGCCCAGCGCTGACAGAATCACTTTCCGGCCCCGGGACAGGCCAGACTTCGATGACAAGGACACTGCCTGCAAGAATCCCGCTCAGCGCTTTTCAGAACACCACCCAGCCCTACCTGGGGATCTGACTCTCATGCACCCAGCTCCGGCCACCTCGCGCCACTGCCCTCCCCGCCGCGGACCCCTCGACCCGCTCCGTCCTGAGGAGGGGATGTGAGGCGTGCTCTTGGATCCTGGGCCTGGAATCAGGCCGAAGTGAGCAAGGGTGCGGGGACAGGCCAAGGTCACAAGCAGCTGCCGAGGTCAGGCTGAGGTCACTTCAGGACGCGGGCCCAGTCCGAGAGGCCGGGGCCAGAGCGGGCCTTGGCGCGACCCCCGTGGAAGCCCCCAGCCCCGCCGCCCTCCACCCTCGGCACCAGGCGTTTGTGCTGCTCGGAGGGGTAGAGGCCAGCCCTGCTCCCAGGCGCCCAAGGTCCGCAGGCGGCGGGGGTCCGGCCGGGGAGGGGACCTGGGTGCGGAGGACGCTCCCGCGCTGCCAAGCCCGCGCCGGGAGCCTCCCCGCGATGACCTTCAGCGGGATGCGGGGCCGCTCAGCGGCCAGGTTCAGGGTCAGAGCTCACCTGGGGTGTCCGCAGTGGGAGCTGCCCGGGCCGCGCGCCACACAGCAGACCTCGGGCCCGCGCTCCCGGCAGCCCCGCGCCCCGCGGGCCCACCATCGCCCCGCGAAGCGTAGCCGCCGCCGCCGCCATCTTGGCCCTCTTCAGCGCGGCCACCGCTCCCGTCGGCCTCTGCGGCGGCAAAGGATATTGAACCTCGCGATAGCCGGGAGGCGTGTGAGGGGGCGGGGCGAGGGCGAAGGCGGGGGCGGGTTCCTTACTTCAGGGCGGCGCACCTCATCGCCTTGCTACTCCAGTCGTCGTGGAAACCAGCGGTTGTTCAAATCCAAGTTGCGTCTCTCTGTTGCCGTGACAACGCCCAACTACTTGATTGCCCTAGTCCTGCCGCTGGTCTCTCCGAAGATCAGTTGTGCCGCGCGCCTATGCCTAGACGCCCCCAACCTGGAATCCAGCGCTTTATTGCACGCTTTCGTCCAACAATATTTCCCGACCTGGAGCGGTGGAAGAACACCTTCATTGCAAAGAATTGCCATTATTTAACCAGTCTGATGACCCCCTGGAAGACCCCACTTGCCAAGCCTACACAGCTTGTCCAGGGCTGTTAGTCTAACCCCCGAGACTGTTTGTTGAAGACAATTCTGGCAAGTGTTGTAATTTCAAAGTTGTAATTTCCCCAAGGCAATGGAGAACAACTGGTGCAATAGACTAACCAAAAAGGTTGAAAGGAAGAAAGGGGAATACAATGTCCACAGGGCGCTCAGACAGTGAAGAATCTGCCTGCAATGCAAGAGACCTGGGTTTCATCACTGGGTTGAGAAAACACCCTGGAGAAGGACATGGCAACCCACTCCAGTAGCCTCGCCTGGAGAATCCCCATGGACAGAGGAGCCTGGCGGGCTACACATTCTATGGGGGTTGCAAAGAATCGGACACGACTGAGCGACTCAGCACAGCACGTTATTTCCAGAATACAGAAGATCCCGAACATAAGTAGGACTGTGTATATACTCATGAAAGACCAGAAAAAGCCCTAAGTGCTCACTTCTGGCTAACCTTGAGGCTATGTGCACAGCTGAAGCCTAAAGCAGAGTTGTAAACTGCCTAGTTGAATTCCGAAGCATGTCCCATATGCACCCAGAGCCACTTAGAAAAGATGGAGATTTATTGGTTATGAAATTAAAAGACACTTGCTCCTTGGAATAAAAGCTATGACAAACCTGGACAGCGTATTGAAAAGCAGAGACATCACTTTGCCAGCAAAGGTGTCTCTAGTAAAAGCTATGGTTTTTCCAGTAGTCATGTATGGATGTGAGAATGGAACCATAAAGAAGACTGAGCTCGGAAGAATTGATGCTTTCGAACTGTGGTACTGGAGAAGACTCCTGAGAGTCCCTTGGACAACAGGTAGATTAAACCAGTCAATCCTAAAGGAAATCAGTTCTGAATGTTCATTAGAAGGACTGATGCTGAAGCTGAAGCACTAGTACTTTGGCCACCTGATGTGAACAGTCAACTAATTGGCAAAGACCCTGATGCTTCAAAAGATTGAAGGCAGGAGGAGAAGGGGGCAACAGAGGATAAAGTGGTTGGATGGCATCACTGATTCAATGGACATGAGTTTGAGCAAACTCCAGGAGACTGTGAAGGACAGGGAAGCCTGGTATGCTGCAGTTCATGGGGTCGAAAAGAGTCAGACATGACTGAGCAACTGAACAATTATTGGTTCCAGACACTTAAGGAAATTTCTGTCCAGTCATTTATCTGACCACTGAGCTAATCAGGTAGAGACTTCCCTGGCTACCCATGACAAATAGTAGACTTACTTGACAGAATTAGTTGAGAAAAGTCACAATACAAATGCAACTACCACAGCAGCAACAGTAACAAAACGTGGAATCTAATGTCCGGAATTTCCACTTTGTATCATTAAAACCAGTCAGTCCTAAAGGAAATCAACCCTGAATATTCACTGGAAGGACTGATGCTGAAGCTGAAGCTCCAGTACTCTAGCCATCTGATGCAAAGAGCCAACTCATTGGAAAAGATCCTGATGCTGGGAAAGATTGAGGGCAGGAGGAGAAGGGGGCGACATAGGATGAGACGGTTGGATGGCATCACCAACTCAGTGGACATGAGTTTGAGCACACTCCAGGAGATAGTGAAAGACAGGGAAGCCTGGCATGCTGCAGTCCATGGGATCTCAAAGAGTTGGACACGACTGAGTGACTGAACAACCACAACAACAAATCATTTAAAATGTCTAGTTTTCAACAAAAAATTATGTGACATCTAAAAAAAGGAGAGGGTCTGGCCTATAAGTGGGAATAAAAAGAACCAATCAATAGGAACTATTCCTGGGGAAACGTATCTAAATATATTAAAAGAAGGGGGGTGCTAAATATGATATATACATACTACTATATATAAAATAGATAACTAATGAGGACTTTCTGTATAGTACAGGTAACTCTACTCAATACTCTGTAATGAATCACATGGGAAAAGAATCTGAAAGAGGGGATGTATGTGTATGTATAACTGTTTCACTTTGCTATATAGGAGAAACTAACACACAACATTGTAAATAAACTATACTCCTAAAAATTTTTTAATAAAAAATTAAATTAAAAAGTAGGTTCAATGAGCCATAATATCTAAAAAACTAGAGGAAAGTATAATGTCTCATGAAATAGAGAATGTCAATAAAAATAAATTACAAAGAGAATCCAAATAGAAATTATGGAGTTGAAATGTACAACAATGGAAATGAAACATTTTACTGAAGGGCTCTACTGCAGGTTTGAGTAAGTAGATGAAACAATTAGCAAACTTGAAGTTAGGTCAATTGACATTGTCTGGTCTGCAGAACAAACAAACAAAAAAAGGGATAAAAATTAACAGAGACTCACTGACCCGTGGGACATCACTAAACATACCAACCTATACATAATTCTCAGGAGTGAAGGAGAAAGAAAGAAACGGACAAAAAGAATATTTAAAGAAATTGTGACTGAAAACTTTCCAAATTTAACTGAAACAAACAAACATGTATGTATTCTACACATATAGGAAGTTAAAGAATCCCAAGCAGGATGAACTAAAAGGGATCCACACCTGTACACATCATAAATTGTTAAAAAGCAAAAAAAAAACCCCAAAAAACAAAAAACCTTGAAAAAAAAAAACAGCAAGAGAGAAGTGACTCATCACATACAAGTGGTCCTCAGTAAAAGTAACAGAAAATCTCATACCAGAAACCATGGTGGCCAGAAGGTGGTGGTATGACTTGGTTCAAGTGCTGAAAGAATAAACCAGGTAAATCTGCCAACCAAGAATTCTATATCTGGCAAAAGCATCTCTAAAAAAAAAAAAGGAGGCAATTAAGACATTTCCAGATAAACTGAGAGTTTGTCACAAACACCCTGCCCTCCAAGAAATACTCAATGGAGTCCTTAGGCTGAAATGAAGAAACACTAGATGATAACTCAAAACCACATGAGAAAATAAAAGCACCGGCACCGGCAACTACATAGACAAGTACAGATGCTTTTTGTAACTTTTTTTTCTATCTGATTTAAAAACTGCTGCATAAAGCAATAATTACAAATCTATGAGTATAAGGAATTCCCTTGTGGTCCAGCTAACGGTTAGGCCTCTCTGCTTTCACTGTCAAGGGCCTAGGTTCAATCCCTGGCCAGAGAACTAAGATCCCACAAGCAGCAGAGTGTGGCCAAAAAAAACCCCCTATGTAGACAGACATACTATATGAGATGGAATCTATGGGAATAAATAAAGAAGGGGGAAACAGTTATATAGGAGAAACATTTTAAAACACAATTTAATTTAATGTTAATCTGAATCAGACTGTTACAAATTAAGATGTCAATTGTGATCCCAAAGGCAACCACTAAGAAAATAACTCAAAAAATATAGTCAAAGAAATAACAAAGGATTAAAATGGTACACTGTAAAATATCTAACACACACACACGAAGACAATAATGAAGAAATTGAGGGGGAGAAGACATAAGACACATAGAGAACAAATATCAAGATGGTGGTGGTTTAGTCGCTAAGTCATGTCTGACTCTTGCAACACCAGGGATTGTAGCCTGCCACGCTCCTCTGTCCATGGGATTCTCCAGGCAAGATTACTGGAGTGGGTTGCCATTTCTTTCTCCAGGGGATCTTCCAGACCAGGAATCGAACCTGGGTCTCCTGCTTAACAGGCAGATTCTTTACCGACTGAGCTATGAGAGAAGCCCAAATATCAAGACAGCAGAATAAATTGTACTGTATCATTAATTACATTAAATGTAAATTGATTTAAGTCACCAGTTAAAGGGCAGAGCTTAGAATAATGGATTTTTTTAAAGTCATGATCCAACTATACAATGCCTATAAGAAACACATTTTATATTCAAAGACACAAATAGTAAAAATTTGGAAAAATATACACCACACTAACAGTAACCAAAAGATAGTTAGAGGGGCTATACTAATATCAGACAGTATAAACTTTAAGACAGATGTTGATACTAGCATTAAAGAAGGACATTTTATAATGGAAAAAGAAAGATCAGTTCATCAAGATGACAGTTATAAAGATATATTAGACTAACAGAGCCCCAAAATACATGAAGCAAAACTGTACAGAATTGAAGGGAGAAACATAACATTTACCATAACAGTTGGAGACTTCAGTACCCTACTCCCAGTAATGGATAGAACAAATAGACCATCAGCAAAGAAAAAGAAGACTTGAGCAACACAGCAAGCCAACCAGACCTAAAGACATCCATGTAACACCCCACCCAACAACAGGAGAGTACATATTCTTCCCAAGCGCACATGGAATGTTCTTTAGGATAGATCAATGTGTTAGGCAATAAAACAAGTCTCAATAAATTTAAGAGTAGTAAAATCATAAAGTATGTTTTCTGACCACAACAGAATGAAATTAGAAATCAATAACAGAAGGAGAGTAGGAATATTCACAATTATGTGAAAATTAAATAATATACTCCTAAAAAATTATCCAAAGAAGAAATCACAGAAAAAATTAGAAAATACTTTGAGATGAACGAAAATGAAAACACAACATATCAAAACTTAGCATCAGCAAGACAGGTGCTAAGAGGGAAATTTAGAATCCTAAATTACTGTTATTAGACTTCCCCAGTGATACAATGGATAAGAATCCACCTGCAAGTGCAGGGGACACGGGTTCGATCTCCGGTCTGGAGAGATCCCACGTGCTTCAGAGCATCTAAGCCCATGCACCACAATTACTGAGCCAGTGCTTTAGAGCCCACAAGCCACAAATACTGAAGCCTGCTAACCCTAACCCTAAGTGCTTGGTTACGATGGAAAAGGCATTAAATTTGTGGGTGGAAGATAGGAATAGAAAGTCAGATTCAGTGCTATCCAGGGTTTCAAGCATCCACTGGGAGTCCTGGAATGGATGCCCTGCAGATAAGCGATCCTATTCATTCTTATCAAAGTCCAGTTTCCGGAAACCCAGAGACAGAAAATAGGGTAATGGTGCCAGGATGAAAGGGGAGCAGGGGTAACACTGTACCCGTGTTACTTTTGTGTGCAATAAAAATGTTCTGAAGGCAGAAGTTGGTCATGCAGGTCTTGGAGAGCAAGGTAAGGAGGCTTAATTTTATCCTGGATGCAAGGGGGCATCCCTGGAAGAGAGGCAAAGTGGACCTCAGGTCCAGAATTGGGTGAGGGCACAGGGAGGAGGTGCATGCAGAGTAGGTGTTCAGGTTGGGAAGAGATGACTTAAAGGGGACTGTGGCATATCCAGGAGGCAGAGGTGACAGATGTGGCCTCAGAAAAGGGGCCTAGACAGGAGGCAGGACTTGAGTGTGGGCATGAAGGCTGCTGGAGCCTGGACAGGTCCCTAAGGCAGCCTGGAGCCCCCACCTTAAAGTCCCAGGTGGAATGGGGTGACTCGGCAAAGGGTCTGAGAAGAGCACAGAGCTAACCTGGGACAGCCAGCCAACTGCAGTGCGTCTGCAGAAGGCCTGGCTGTGGGGAAGTTGCTGTGTGTCCTAAGGCGGGTCCTGCACCCTTGACCTCCCAGTCATCACCCCTTATACCCAGCCGTGAGCTCTGAGGATGGCAACAGGCCTGACCCCAGGCTTCCTCCTGGACCTCCAGAAGGGCTCCCTCTGATTCTTTCCTTCTTTCATTCAACAAATGCAGGTGTACAGTCTACCTTTCCAGGCCTTGGCTCTGCTGGAAAAGAGGCAGAAAGTAAGACAGAGTCCCTGCCCCACAGAGCTCCTGTTCTGGGGTGTGGGAGGCAAGCTGCAAAGGAATATCGAATACTTATTACTAAGAATTGGTTATCAACACAACGGATACGCACAGTTGTAGATGCATACACACTTTTAGATGCTTCCAGCTGGCAACTGCCTGAGAGTTCCTGGGTGGCTCAGCAACAGTCCCCCTTGTAGGAACTGGACTGAAGTGTCAGAAAACTCCAAATAATGACTCAAACATGGTAGAGATTTGTTTCTCTTTCTTGCAAATGAAGCCTAGGTTAGCAGCCCAGGCCCTTGGAGGTCCAGGGAGCCCCCCTCTTGTCTCCCCCCACCCACAGGGTGGGCTGAAGCTTACATCTCTGACGTGCTTCATTCCACATCCCCGAGGATGGGAAAGAAGCAGCTGGTTGATGTCTGCATGGATTCACACTATGGATGGGCACAATAAGGACAGAAATGGTCTGGACCTAACAGAAGCAGAAAACATTAAGAAGAGGTGACAAGAATATACAGAAGAACTATACAAAAAGATCTTCATGACCCAGATAATCATGATGCTCTGATCACCAACCTAGAGCCAGACATCCTGGAATGTGAAGTCAGGTGGGCCTTAGGAAGCGTCACTATGAACAAAGCTAGTGGAGGTGATGGAATTCCAGTTGAGCTATTTCAAATCCTAAAAGATGATGCTAAGAGCTGCACTCAATATGCCAGCAAATTTGGAAAACTCAGCAGTAGCCACAGGACTGGAAAAGGTCAGTTGTCATTCCAATCCCAAAGAAAGGCAATGTCAAAGAATGCTCGAACTACCACACAATTGTACTCATCTCACACACTAGCAAATTTTTTTTTATTATTATTTTTTTACACGCTAGCAAATTTAATGCTCAAAATTCTCCAAGCCAGGCTTCAACAGTACATGAACTGTGAACTTCCAGATGTTCAAGCTGGATTTAGAAAAGGCAGAGGAACCAGAGATCAAATTGCCAACATCCGCTGGATCACCAAAAAAGCGAGAGTTCCATAAAAACATCTACTTCTGCTTTTTTGACTATACCAAAGCCTTTGACTGTGTGGACCACAACAAACTCTGGAAAATTCTTCAAGAGATGGGAATACCAGACCACCTTACCTGCCTCTTGAGAAATCTGTATGCAGGTCAGGAAGCAACAGTTAGAACTGGACATGGAACAACAGACTGGTTCCAAATAGGAAAAGGAGTACGTCAAGGCTGTATTGTCACCCTGCTTGTTTAACTTATATGCAGAGTACATCATGCGAAATACCGGGCTGGATGAAGCACAAGCTGGAATCAAGATTGCTGGGAGAAATATCAATACCTCAGATATGCAGATGACACCACCCTTATGGCAGAAAGTGAAGAACTAAAGAATCCCTTGATGAAAGTGAAAGAGGAGAGTGAAAAAGTTGGCTTAAAGCTCAACATTCAAAAAACTAAGATCATGGCATCTGATCCCATCACTTCATGGCAAATAGATGGGGAAATAATGGAAACAGTGACAGGCTTTATTTTGGGGGGCTTCAAAATCACTGCAGATGGTGATTGCAGCCATGAAATTAAAAAGATGCTTACTCCTTGGAAGAAAAGTTATGACGAACCTGGACAGCATATTAAAAAGCAGACATTACTTTGTCAACAAAGGTCCGTCTAGTCAAATCTATGGTTTTTCCAGTAGTCTCGTATGGATGTGAGAGTTGGACTATAAAGAAAGCTGAGCGCTGGAGAATTGATGCTTTTGAACTGTGGTAACCTTGAGAGTCCCTTGGACTGCAAGGAGATCCAACCAGTCCATCCTAAAGGAAATCAGTCCTGAATATTCATTGGAAGGACTGATGCTGAAGCTGAAACTCCAGTGCTTTGGCCACCTGATGCAAAGAACTGACTCATTTGAAAAGACCCTACAGCTGGGAAAGATTGAAGGCAGGCGGAGAAGGGGATGACAGAGGATGAGATGGTTGAATGGCATCACCAACTCAATGGACATGAGTTTGAGTAAACTGAGTTGGTGATGGGTAGGGAGGCCTGGCGTGCTGCAGTCCATGGGGTCGCAGAGTCAGACATGACTGAGTGACTGAACTGAACTGGACTCACCCTTGAAGTTTCTGCTCAGGTCTAGGGGCCTCTATAGTCACGACTTCACCTAGCTGCATGTAGTCTGGGAGAGTCTTTACTCACAGTGGCCTGTGCTCATTCCAAAATTAGGGTTCCGTGACTGAGGGAGAGGGATACTTTCAGAGTAAAACCTGTAGGACCTTGTACTCAGCCCTTGTACATCTCATCTGTATCTTTAGAGCCTGACATTTTCTTTCTTTATAAAATGTACAGCACAAGTAACGTTAATGAAAATCAGTGCCAAAATCCAGTTCTGCAAAAGCAAGCTCAAAACAGCTAACAGTCGCTTCATGAGGTAACATTATTTCCACGATTTGTTTTAAGTGACTGCCAAAGTCTAGTTAAAAATGGCTGATCAAGGCCAAAGCCCAGGTAGAATGCCCGGAAGGGGTTTTGTATTAGATGCCAGTCTGCAGAGTCAACAGGGAGACCACAGCAGAGCTGAGACCTCTTCTGCCTTGTAAGATGGGAGCCCGCAGACCAGTGGTGCCTGACTGACCAGGGAAGAGTCCTGAGAGAGGCTAGCCTGGAGGCATTTCTGGGGGTGCAGGGGTGGGGGTGGGGGCTGCAAGTCTTTGCCCAGCCTCAGGATCTGGAGTTTTTTCAACAGGGGAAGTGACTACAAGACAAATAGGCCAAGGGCAGGCTGCAGTCACAGTTGTCTCCAGCACCTTTGCTCCAGCCCATCCCGAACAATCTGGAACCAGGGTGCCCGTACCCTTCAATGCTGAGAAGTCCCAGAGTAAAGCCCTCCAGGTGCTGGCCCTCTCCCACTGTGGAGTCAGGGACCCCTAGGTGTTGAGGGAGGTCTCCCAGGCCTGGGTGGGGGGTCTGGCGCCTTGGAGTTTCCTCTTTGGGACGGTTCCAGTTCACCCCATTTCAGGATGTGGTGCTGAGGGAGGCTGTCCACAGCTGGTGTGCTCCTTTCAGCACTGAGGCTTGCAGGACTGTACTGAGCTCGCCGCCCTGGCAGGGCACCTTGACTCTTGGCCTCTTGCGGCCCTGGCATCACCAGACGGCCCACTTTGCTTTCCTCCCTTCCCCAACAGGCACTGGACGTCCCAGTCCCTCTCAGGAGGCTTGCCCATCCTGAGGCCTCTGTGCAGCCCTGCATCAGTGCCCTGCCCCTCAGTACTTGGGTCACCCCTATCCCAGGCTGTTACTTCGGGTGGAGCTGGGTGGGCTCAGCTGCTCCATCTGTCCCATCTCTCATGGGCACTCCCAGGAGGCCGGGACAGGGGCTCCTCCTGCTGCACCCCAAGCCCACATCAAAGTTCTGGCCGCCATTCCCCATACCCGGGGCCTCCCGTGTCCCCTTAGTTCCAGCACTGGAGATGGCACCGTGGGGGTCTCTGGGCGCTGCCCGCCGTGCTTCCTCCTGCTCAGCACTGGACAGTGATGCACAGAGACCCCCGCTGGGAGAACCCTCCTGGGGCGCAGTCAGGTCCGAGTGTCCACCCAGGCTGGCACTGGGGCCCTCATTCCTGCCACGCGGTAAGTGGACCAGAAGCGGCTTAGCAGGGTGCCGGGGCCTGCAGGCAGTTTCTCGCGGCAGGGCCTGTGGCCCCACATACACAGCAGACAGCGGGCCAGGAGCCCAAAGGACATCTGAAACAGAACTGTTTATTTCCTAGGAAGAAGAGAACATGGGGAACTCCCAGCTGCCTCTGTTACTTCCAGAAGAGCACGTTCCAGAAGAGCAGCCAGCAGGGGTAGAGGCCCAGAGCCAGCAGCGGGAAGAGCAGGGCGCCGTAGGTGTGGTGCTCCAGCACGCCCTGGGCCAGCGCGGCCAGGAAGAGCTGCCAGCCCTCGGCCAGGGAAAGCGGTGCCTCCTGCAGCTCCCGCCACAGGAACAAGCTGCCCAGGAGTGAAGCTGCTGGGCTCGTCAGCACCAGCAGGGCAGCATAGAGAGGCCTGGGGGGGAAGCAGAGGCACCAGGCGGGGAGGAGGAGGAACATGTTGAGGTGGAACCCATGGTAAGGGGTGCAGGCTCTGCACTGGGGGCTGAGCAGCACGTACCGGGGCCCAGAGGGCTTGGTGACTGCAGCAGCGGGCACCATGCTGGCGGCCAGTAGGAAGCCCAGAGAGAAGTTGGTGAGGGTGATGCAGGCCAGCTGTAGTGCCAGGTAGATGAGGGCTACCAGCTTCAGCGCCATCCAGCCCCTGTCTGGGGCCTGTGTGCTCACCACCCTGCAAGGCAAGGAGCTCAGAGGCAGCTGCCTGCACGTCCAAGGTGCACCTGTCCACGACCACCCAGCCCAGCTCCTCACCGGTGGGTATTGTGTGGCAGCGCCAGGCCAGCTGCATAGATGGCCAGCAGCGTCAGCACCACGGCTTCGGCCTCAGCCACGGGGAAGTGCTGGGCTGCCACGTGTTGACCCAGCACTGGAAGGACATACAGCGCCAGGCCCATGGCCTGGGAGACCAGCAAGGGTGCCACAAGCGAGGCCAGCCCCACGCCCTGCAGGGCACAAGGGCACTTGGAGATGGATCCCAGGACCAAGGGAGCCCCCAGGACCCTCCCCATCCCACTGCAGCTGAGACTGAACAGCAGCAGTAATTACCACCTGGGATCCTAAAAGCTCACCCCAATATAGCAGGAGGGGGAACCATCACCTGTGTTGGAGGGTAGGGGGGACTGGACCCAGAGGTCCCCCCAGCCTCCTCAGGACCCACTCCAGCCTCATGCAGCTGCATCCACAGTTCCAGAGCATGGATGAGTCAAGGACCTTGATGAGAGGTGTGATGGGCTCTGCCCAGTGGGGGACCCAGGGCTCACTCCTACTCCCCCGCCCCGAGGATAGAGAGCTCTCCCCAGCCAAGAGTGGGGGGACCTGAAGCCAGCCACAAACAGACAGTGGAGGCAGAGGATATCTTGAGACCGAGGACCAGGAGCAAAAAGCCGGCAGCTGGCATGTAGAGGCCAATGGAGACGAAGCGGGAGAGTGCAGGGAGAAGGTAGAAGAAGAAGGACTGGTGCAGGCGCTCCAGAAGATGGTTGAGCTTGCGGAACATGCCCTCCAGAGCCCTGTCAGGTGTAGGCCAAGGTCATAGACGGCCAGATCCCCAGGCACCCACTCACTGCCCTGCCCCAAGCATGCAAAGGGGAGATCAGAAGCCACTTACTTGCCCACTGCCACCAGATCATACTTATACTGGCGGAAGCTATTGATGCCACGGAGGGTCAAGGCCTCCACGCGGTAGCGCAGGAAGAGGCCATGGGCACCGTGGGGGCGGCCGGAGGCCTGCTGCAGAACCATGAGCAGCAGCGTTTGTACACTCTGCAGTGGCCCATCTGTTGAGGTCCAGTCCTGGGGTTGCAGCTTAGAAGATTTGGGGACAAAGTCAGATAAGCCCGACACACAGGTCCCATGCTACCCAGGCAGGTGGCCCTACCTTGCCCTGCAGCGTGCATAGCAGCCCCCCTTTCTGGCAGAAGGTCTGGAAGAGGTTGAGCAGGTCCAGGTTGGGCAGCTGTCCATTGAGCCCCTCCACGGCCACATCAAGGCTAGTGACCACATCGCTGCTCAGCTCCAAGGCCACGGCTGCCTGGATGGCCCCAGCCCGGCCCTGCAGGGGTGATGACTGCATACCTGTGGAAGCAGGTGAGTGAGCTGCCAACAAGTGGCCAGTGAGGACAGTGGCCCTGGGAGGGGCCAGGGCCAGGCAAGTGCACCCACCAGTGACATTGACGTCGTGGTAGGCTTCAAGCCAAGCCTCAGTGCCCAGGAGGTCGTGTTCTGTCACCAGGAAGATGATGTCTTTGGCCCAGTAAATCTGCCCTAGAGACCAGAAGCCGGTCAGCAGGGTCTGAGGCAGTGGCCAAACCCTCTCTGGCCAGCAGGAGCCCCTGAGCCTCACCCCGGAAGTGGGCAGCAAGAGCCAGCATCAACCCGACAGCCTGGCTGTTGGTAGAGTCAGGGCCACAGGGCACGGTGAGCACCAGGGACTCCGTGCTGGCAGCGCGAGGTGCCCGGAGGATGCCGTACACGTTGATGCCCGACACCATCTGCACGCAGTATTGGGGGCGGGGGGAGCCTCAGCACGACCGCACTCGAGGCAGCTGAGAGCTTCCCCTTCCAGCCCCAGAATGCCCACCAGTGACTGCTCTGGCCCCAGGACATCCCCCCGTCCCCTCAAGGTGCTTCACAGTCGCAGGCACACCCCTCCCCCACAATACATAGCGCTCGTGGGTCTCATCTGGAAAGGGCAGTTTCCGGGAGAAACTCTGCGTGTAGACCTCCAGCCCCACTGACCGCATCGTCCGCTCCAGCCAGGCTACTGGCAGAGCCCTGCAGACACAAAGAGAGCCTCTGAGCAGAGTTCACTGGCCTTGACTGGCATTGCTTCCCTGATGACCATGGCTTTGCTGCTCACCCCGACTTCCTGCGGTGGGCAGCGAAGTCCCGGGCAAGGCTCCGGGCACGGTCTCCGCCCGCAAAATGCTCCTCCACCATGGTGGAGCCCATGGCGTTCTCCGACATGTAAGTGCGCTGGGTCAGCGGCGGGAAAGCCAGCGCTAGGAACCAAGCGATGCCCGCCACATAGCTCAGCACGCTGCGGAGAGAGGGACGAAGGGACCACAGAAGCATTAGAGGCCCTGCCTGTTTCTGCACTGGGGGTGGAAGGGGCCTATCAGCGGGACCTGGACCGAGTCCCGGGATTCGGGACGCCTGACAGGAGAGCTGAGCCCCAAGCCTGAGGCCCCGATTGATCCCGGTAGGCGGGAGGGGACGGGCGCGAGCAGTCTGAGGGGCCTCTGCCCCCGGGGCCCCGCCCTCACCAGAGCGGCGCGTTGAGACGCAGCACGAGGCGGGCGAGGGCGCGTCGGCGCACCGGGTCCGACAGGAGGCCCATGGCAGGGCCGGGCGGCTCCGGGACCGCGCTCCTACTGCCAGTTACGGCGGCCGGCCCCGCGCGCCGCTCCTGTCAGACCCGGGCTCCGCGCCCGCCCGTACTTCCGGTCCCGACGGCCCTCGCGCCGCCGCGCATGCTCAGAGCAGAACCGCTGTGGACGGAGCGAACCCGGGTCTGGGTTCCCCCGCCCGCCGAGAGCGGCCTCCAGGTAGGCTACCCGCAATGTGCGGCACTGGAGGCAGTGAAGACTACGGCCGCCCGAGAAAGCTCGGCTCCAACTGTAATCAGAGAAGCCTGATGAATACGGCAGCTGAGTAAAACCGGACGCGGCGATCAGAGCATAGACGCCAGATTTCTGAAGGTGCTACCACTGGCACTGACCGGTCTGAGTGCCGCGGTAGGAAGTGAGGGAGGGGGCTTCCGCGGACAGAGGCCAAGGTGTTGGCAGGTCCATTCCTATGGATGTCGGTCACCAAAAACAGCCGAGTGGAATCAATCATGTGCCCAGAACCAAGATCATTGGGGTCAGATGACCACAGGGAAGAAGGTGCATGAGACTACTGGCCAAGGGGTTTGAAAGGAGCTGGGGTGTGTTGAATATAAAGTGGGAAGCACCCCTATCCGGCCCAGGAGGTGCCTGGGATATTAGAGAAACAGCAGTCCCTTGGTTCAGGCTGCAGGGGCTGGCGATCCGGGCTCAGTCAGGTCTGAGGTGGAAGAAGGGGGAGCCTGAAGAGCAAGGTGCAGTGGTGGGGTAGCAGGGAGTGTCTGACTTAGGGTCAGAACTGAGAAGACTCCACGTGACATGTGTCTGTTGTACTTTTGGAGCCGAAGGTAAGTAGCAGGACAGGCCCAAAGGGCTCCTAGGGGGCAAGAGACCCTTCAGTCCAAGCCACAATCCAGAGGATGTGGGACACGGCCCCCCACCAGACCACGGTGACTACCCAAAGCCACCCCTCAGGACTTGTGCTCAGGACTCTGGAATGTGTTGGGATGAGAACGACAGACTCCATGGTTCCGGGGCGTGGCATGTTATACCAGGCTGTGTCTCACTGCCCAGCTGCCTCAATCCCTTCTTGGCCCAGACTGCTCGCTTCATCCAGGACATCCCCCTTCTTCATGGTGCTCACCTGAGGCACCCTGGTGAGCAGGGTGAGCAGGACTGAGGCTGCAAGGGGTGTGTAGTGCATGTCTGGGGGACGCACCCTTAGTCATTGCTGGAACCAGCACCAGGCCAGGATCCAAGGACAAGGAAGTGCAGTGGGGAGAGACAAAAATACAGTGGAAGGTGCTTGAGTTTTATTCTGGGCCTGGGTGGCCATGTGCTCAGTCCCCCAGCAACACAGAGGCCTCTTGTACATGCTGCCGGACCACACGGTCCAGTACGGTGTGTACATCCCGGGAAGCCCGGGCAGCGGCCTCTAGCACCTGCTCCAGGTGGTCCTCATGCAGCCTGGCATCCATCTCAAGCAGTGCAATCTGGCCTGAGGCTGGTAGCAGGGCCAGGGCCAGCTGGGGGCCCCCAGCTGCTTCCTCCACGTGGCTGAGGTCTGCCAAGGCTGTCCCATCCACAAAGCCAGCCGAGCAGGCACACACAAAGTCGCGCATGGGTATCCCCGCGTCCAACACTGCCAGCGTGGCTGCATTCACACAAGCTGCGTAGGTCCCGCCGTCTGCCTGCAGCACCTGCAGGAACCTCCCCAGTGGCATCAGTCCTTCAAACCGCTGAACCCCATCCCCTCCTCTTCTCTCTCCCCTCCCCAGGCTGAGGTTGCTGCCTGCTCACCTGCACATAGATGTCAATCTGGGAGCGTGGGTGCAGCTGTGTAAGGATGGCTGCCTCGAAGGTCTGACGCAGCTGCAGACCCATCTCGCAGGACTTGCGGTCCCCGTGTGGCCGCCGCTTGCGCTCGCCTGTGCTGAAGGTTGCAGAACTGTATTGACAGTTCACCAGGGCCCTGTCAGGCAGGGCTCGTGCCCGGGAGCCTCGGATCTGGGGTAGGGTGGGGGAGAACACATGAGCCAGGCCCTTCCTCCCTCCACCTCCAACATGCCGGCAAGCAACCACTTTACCTGCAGAACACAGCCCGAGGGAGTGCCATTGGGCCAGGCTCTAAGCCACCATCAGTCCTGGATCTCTCTCCTGACAGGCCTCCCTGTTTCCCCTCTTGACTCGTCCTCTCCCGACCCATGCTTCGTTTGTATGAGAATCTGTTTACATACATAAAGTCTGATTCTACCTCCTCTACACAATACATATACTGCTTACCTTATATGAGGGTTCCCACCACGCGTGAGATAAAAATTCTAAATCTCTTCCCTGTTTACAAAGGTTCTGAGTTCCTGCTTCCCTAGAAATCCCTCAGTCTCATTTGGAACTACCCCCCCTCTTCCCCATCACCAGCCTTTCTGCTCTGCAAGCGTGCCATGCTTACTTCTACCTCTCTGGCCTTAAGTCTCCAGCGCTGGAGTGGTGATAAACCCAAGCGGTTTTATTAACACTCTCTGTCTTCACGGAGTCTATGTTCCAGTGAGGAGAAAAACAGTGAGAAATAAGGTAAACTGATGTCTGAGGAGGCGAGTGCGGGAAACCAGGTAAGTGTGTGGATATAAACGAGGGAACTTGACAGGCAGGTAAGATGGTCTGGAGTGGGGTGGGGTGAGGTGTCACCCGGAGGTGACGTCGGAGTGGAGCTGAGAGGTGAGGGAGCGAGTGGGAGCGGCCCTGGCGGTTTTAGGAGTAACAAAGGGGAGTGGCGGGCGCAGGAGAAAGACAGGGACCGCCGCGCAGGACACTGTTAGGACTTTGGCCGCGGCCCCACAAGGCGGCGCGCACCAACCTCACCCCCGAGGCCTCTGCTCAGCCTGGTAGCCCCGCACAGCCGCAGCTGCCGCCACCGGAGGAAGCCCGGCTCGCGCGCGCCCACTCGCCTCGTGAGGCCCGTAGACCACCGCCAGCGCCTTGGTGTTGCCCTGTTCGATGTAGGCCGAACCGTCGGCCTGCGCGAATACACCCATCCGCGCCTGTATCTTGCGCAGCTCCCCAGCGCGCCGCCCGTCCACTCGGTAGCCCTGGTCCGACAGGAGCTCCAGCCCGGCCATGCCGCCCGGGCGCTATTCCCGCTTCGGCGCTCGGCGGAACTACAATTCCCTATAGAACTGACGCCCTACTTCCGATTCCCGGGGCCTACGGTTTCCGCGGCACCGACTCCAACTTCCGGTTCCGGAGCCCTGCGAGCCTCCCAGAGTGCCCGAGGGCACTAACCTCATTTCCGGTCCTTGCGGACCTGTGGCTGTGGGGTACGCGGAGGTACGCTTGCGGCATTTTGGATATGGGCTTGTGGCTGGAGGCATGCTGGACGTGGAGTCGCCGTGTCGTTTATTCCCGGCTTGGACGTGGGGGCGGCTCCCTCTACCATCCGGGCCTGCCCGCCCCACGCCGCCTTGGTCGCCGCCGGCCCGGGTCAGTGCCGGGACCCGGAGTGGCGGGGCTCCCGCCGCGCCGCCGCCTCTTCCTCTGCCTCTCCACTGAGCCCCGAGCCGTTGGCGCGCCTTTACTTATGCCTGACCTTTGGCATCTTCTTCGAGGTTCGCGGGCGACAGCCGCCACTCCTTAAGTTCTTCCACGGTCATAAATGCAGGCGTTCTCTCGAGCTGAGACACACGCTCTGTTCTCTTGGTTTTTTTTTTTTTAAACCGTTTAGTTTTAACATTTGTCCTTTTAAAAAGCAGACATATTTATGTTGTACATACTCATAGTCATATTTTTTTAGATCAGATTTTTTTAGTTTCAGTTTTCCATGTGCATTGTTTCTCTGCACGCGTCCCCCTACCTACTATAGCTTAAAAAATGGTTCCATGTTTTTCTCGACACTCATAACTACATCCAATAAATACATCCATAAATACATGTGTCACACACAGATACATGTAGATGCAGTTGTACATGTACAATTATATAGTGGCCTTTGGAACTCTGTTATTTTTTAAAATGGGATTGTTTCATACACTTATGCATTTAACTCAATATTTTATCAAATCTGTCCAAATAATCCTGTGGAACTCTTTAATTTTTTGCTTGATACGAGTATCAAGTAGTAAGTAGAATGTACCCAGCAATCATCCCATTGTGGGCAGTGGATGTGTGTCCTGGGGTCTGGGGGATGGAGCCGGAGTGCAGTGACTTACTGAGTGGAGGCTGTGTGGGAGTTACATTCTCCCTCCTCTCCCACGTGGAATAAGTGTTAGAAGTTTACATAATCCTTCCCCCTTCAGAGGGTTACTGCCATTCCTCTTGCATTTCCTGGCCTGATGTATTCCAGCGTCTTGTGTCAGTCAAGTGCCCTGGAACTGCAGAGGGGCTCACAGGAAGAGGGATGAGATGTTTTCCTCCACAGCTGCCTCCTGTTTCCAGGTACCTCTTGCTTGGTGGTCAAGGTCACCATCAGGGAGCTCATTCCCCTCCTCATCTGTATTATTTGGGCTTCTCTGGTGGCTCAGCTGGTAAAGAATCTGCCTGCAGTGCAGGAGACCCGGGTTTGATCCCTGGGTTGGGAAGATCCTCTGGAGAAGGAAATGGCAACCCACTCCAGTCTTCTTGCTTGGAGACTCTTATGGATAGAGGACATTGGTGGGCTATGGCCCATGGGGTTGTAAGAATCAGACACAGCTTAGGACTAAACTTAGGGCATTATTCAGCTTCTCTTCAGTGCTTAGAAACCAGATTCCATGCTTCAGGTTTGAACGTGGAAGGATAAATCGGTAGGGCTGTGACAATGACCACAGGGAGGCGACATTCACAGGGGCTGAGGGTGGTATGCACTTGGGGCTTTCCTGTCTGTGGCCACTGCAGATGGTGACCAGCATTGTCATGAAACCTTCCTCATGTCTTTGGTGGCAGGTGCTGGCTGTTGGGCAGGGCTCAACTGGGCTGTGAGAGACAGCACACCTTCATGTGGCCTCTTCATCCAGCCTGGGCTTCCGCAAGCATGGCACCAAGG